TCGCAGGAGGGAGCTCTCGGAGCACACCAGAGCCGGGATCAGGCCTCCAGGTGCATGAGACCGGCTGCTCTCATGGTGTTGGCTCTTCTGCTTTGCAGACTTCTGCGAGGGTCCTCATGCTGCTGCAGCGGTTTTCGGTGGTTTGGGCAAGCAAAGAGGAAGGAAGAAACTGCAGCAGCTGCCTGGAGGTACCTCCCTGCAGCGGAAGAGCTGGTGCCGGGAGCTTCCCAGGGAGGTGATTTTTGGCACACGTGGCGGTGGACAGGCCCCGCTGCTGGCTGGGCAGGTAGGAGCATCAAAAGGCAAAGCCGAAGATATGAACATTGCTGAAGGAGAGCCGCGAAACCCTGCAAGGACATGATTCTGGGCCGGCCACTCTGCAGCAGGAGGTCTCAGCATGAAGTCTCAGCTCCCCGTGCATCTTCTGTACTGGTCCCGGCATGCCGTCGGCACGCTGTGGTGCCCTGACAAACCCTCCGGCACGGCCAGCGGAGGCTGCTGCGCGCTGCTCGGCGAGGTTTGGGGTGGAAGGGGACAGCGCTGCCGGCGTGCTGAAGCATCCAGCAAACGCTTTAGATGTTTTTCCACCAGAGCGCGATGCGATGCTTTGGAAACCAGACCCCACGTCTTTCACGGGCCACAGCTCCCGGACGGTATTGCTTCGGTCCGTAACCCGTGGGCCAGCGTTGGCTTATTCCACTTCTCAGAGCCACGATGAACATTTCCTTTTATCGTGCCGAGTACGCGACGGTCGCGGATTCAGTAGCCCGCGTAAAGGCTGCGTGGGTAGGGGATTAGAGCCTGTTAACGCAGCGGGGCTGGGGGATTTGTCACCGTTTCACGCTAATCCTCTCTTTGTTGCACGGGGTGGGTTACGCGTCTGAAACGGCACTTGCTGCAGGCAGAGTCTGGCCCTCGTGCCAGTGCTGGTCACGGGCTGCATTGGACCTGGGGCGAGGTCCTCTTTGAGGAGCTACACCCCAGGCAAAGTGTGTGTTTGGTTTTGGCAGTGCTGAGCCTGCCTCGTGGGCACGCTGGTGACTTTGTGGTATAACATGGTAAGTTAACAAAACTTGCAGAGAGACAGCTATGAGACCAGATCCGACTCCCACTCAAGCGTGGATGTCTCCTCCTTGGACATCTCTGCTTGGCTCTGAGGGAGTCCACAGTCCCCAGAGAGAACAGGCGCTGCTGGGGCACAAGGTGCCACCTGGAACAGGACCGTTGGCGGTTTTGGGAGCCCCTTGGGTGAGCGTTGGGGGTCTTGCTGAGATGCTGACGCTGGCGGTGTGCAGTGCGTGCCGCAGCTCACCAAGAAGTGGGCTGGAGCCTGCTCTGCTCTGGTGTCTTCCCACTCCCCACTGGGGCACTAATGAGCTTTTCCATGTCCGTGCGTTTCTGTAGCACCCATTTGGCCTGGGTGTAACGCTCCTTCCAATCGAACACGTAGAAGTGTGGAAAGAAAAGCAATAGGGAGCAGCTTGAACTTGCACCTACTGTCCTCACAGGTTTTTATGCAATGCCACCTTGTTTTTTTATGGTGCTGTGACCTGGTGAGGTTCAGCCCAGGACCTTCTTTCAGGCTCTCCTCTTGCCACCAGCCCTGCCCCAGGGAGAAGCAGCTCTCGCTGCGCCTGCATCCTCCTGCTTTGGGCAGCCGGGATGTTCGTGAGCCAGACGAGGGTCACTCCAAGGATTTTGGACAGATTGGCTGTTACTTAAGCAGTCTGTGTTGATCTGGATGTTTTCCTGCGCTTCTGCTTCTGGTGGTGTCTGGCCAGCCTGGCCTCGGGCCACCGGCACGGCTGTGGCTACCATGGCTGTCGTGACGGGTGACTGCGCTCAAAATCACGTCTCGTTGCGATCCAACTGTTTGTGTGAGATGATTTGGGACTCGGATCGGCTCCATCCTTGTATTTTCCCTTTTGCCTTCCGCTCAGAGCATTTCGGGGGCAAGGGGGAAGGACAAATCAACCCTCTCTTGCTGCAAACGCTCTGCGCGCCTTGCTGCCCTGAATCCCAACGGCTCTTTTTTATGCTGTGCCATGCGCCTGGGGCACTGGCACGGCGTGAGTTTGTTCAGAGCTGAAAAGAGGATCAGAAATCGCCCTTCCCTTGGGGGGCTGTTCTGCAGTAAGCAGCAGCGCAGATGTGTCCCGGGGCTTTGATGACTCCAGGAAGGAAGGGAGCACTTATCTCTGAGGCACCAGGCACATGCAAAACGGCAAAGCGCTCTTTCCTCTGATGAATGAAGTGACGGCTCTTGCTGTATAATTCACCACTGAAAAAGAGATGATTGAGCACATCTGGCAGTTGCCTTCTCTCATGTCACCCCTGGGCGATGAAGTGGTCCTTGTCCCAGGCAGGCAAAAGAAGGATCTGCTTGAGGAGCAGGAGGAGTCACTCCCAGAACAGCAGGCACTTCCTTGGTAGGATTTTTCCTCCTTGCAGGTTAGATTCGCAAGGCTGTTCTTCCAGGACGCTCAGGGCAGGTGGGGCTGCGGGTTTGAGTGTGTTCCCTCAGCATCCCTCAGCAGCAGCCTTGGAGGTGGTGAAACACTCAGCCGTGCCAGGACCTCCCAGAGAGGTTGGCATCCCCCCTTGGTTCAGACCTCAGGGCAGAAATCCAGCATATCTCGATGCGATCGTTTAGACTTTCAGGCCAGTTAATCTCATCTCTTTGTTCCTTGTATCCAGTATTGACTGATTGCTCCTACCGAGGAACCACGAGCTCTGCAGAGATGCCTGCGGGCGTGTGATGCCACCACCTTGGCGGGACAAGGGTGACCTCGGGTGATCGCTTTCAGCTGCTTAAATAATCCGTGGGCCGTTAACGATGTTCCCGTTAGCCTGCAACAAGCTGTGAAATCTGGTATATTTGCTGTGACAAATGCGTGAAAGGTGCTAAATTTGCCTGTGGCGGCAGTGGCCGAGCTGGTGGCACCATGTCTCGCCTCCTGCTCCCCAGCAGGGTCTTGATGGCACTTTGCCTCTTCCTCCACGGGAATTTGCAGGAGCCTCAGTGGTGCTTTTCCACAAAAACACACTCTTTTGGCTACGTTGGCTGTACCTCCTTGTCTTGATGGTGATTTACAGCCCCACTGCCCAACGCTGGATTAGGATTTGCTACAACAGCTTGTTCCAGCCACGAAGAGGAGGTGAAGCCAGCTCTGTCCCTCCTGCCACCCAGTTGCAGGTAATACTGGGCTTCCTTGGGACCTTGCACTCGTACTGCAGATGGATGGAGCTTGCTTTTATCTTTAGTTGGTGACCTGCCAGAATTGCAAGATGACAAGTGATAAGCACCGGCTGGGACATTCAGGAGTGACTAAGCAGACCTGCCTCTTTGCCTCGCCGCCGCCTTAATTATTTTCAAACAAGCTTGCTTGTGGAGTGGGAGAGCATCTTGGCTGCTGCTCTACAACCCTGACTCCGTCCAGCTCCGGCCCCTCGGCCGAAGCTGGGGCACGTTGTGCCACCTCTGTACGCGGGGAGGCGGCAGGGGGGTGCTGGAGCGTTAAAGCCGGTCTCCCGGTGGGGTGGGATGCTGCGTGGGGATGGGCACAGCGTTCTCTGCTGGTCCCTCTCCTCCTGCTTGCTGGAGGGTTGGTCATGGGGAGACCACGGAGGGCAGTGAATGAAGTTTGTGCAGGCAGGGTAGGAGGGAGAAATCACCCTTTTCTCCAGGAGGCACCGAAAGCAGCCAGCTGCCCCCAGGATGGACCCTGCTCTGGGGCGATAGCGCGTGGCTCCCCAAAACCCCGCAGGCAGAGCGCCGCTGTGCCCTGTCCCTGTCCTTGCCTGGCTGGGCTGGGGGTAGGCGCAGCCCCGTTGTGCGGGACCAGAGCAAACGTCGGCGCTGCCCGAGCCCCACGTGCATCCAGGCACTGCTAAACTGCAGCAGCTGCGTCGCAGCGGCGATGGCTCAGGGGCACGAGGGCATACGGGCTGTGACGTGGTCTCACCCCATGCTGCAGGGAAGCTGGGGGGGGTAGGCTGTGTGGATGATGATGAGGGTATCTCTGTGAAGGCCGCACCCTTAGATGCACTTAGCCCTGGCCCCCCGGCTGTGCAGCTCGCTGGGGAATCGCTTTTCATTTGCTTTCTGGGGGCTGCGCTCTCCTTCGTGGTATGTTCATCAGGGAGCCTCTTGCCCGCTGACCTTTGGGAGGATGGCCTGCGTCCTGGCACTGACGCAATGTGGATTTGTAGCTGTGGCTTGCTTACAACCCAGATCAGGTTCAGCTGTAACTAAACTTAGCCACTGCTCCCCATAAGGTTCTGTGATCTGGATTTCGAGGAGTTGCTCCTGCTCAGCCGCTCCAGTTGTTTTCACCTTTGAAATGCCAAGCTGGGGGGTGTTAATGGAATGAAGGAGCGATGACCCAAGATGCTGGGGTTTCTCCTGGGTTTGTGTCCCCTGCCCTCATCGTACTCCATGCCAGGACTGGTCCGAGGCGGCCGCTCACGTCCCTGCGGCATCACCGGTGGGGCCATCCCTTTGCTGCTCGGCTGCCTGCGGAGGGAGGATCGCCACTGTGGAAAGCTGCTGCCCACCTTTATCCCGTGTGGTTTGCAAGGTCTGTCGCCGTTGAGGATGACGTGATGCCACCCACCGATGGAGGTGGCGATGCATGTGAGCGGTGAAGCAGAAGGTCCGGGCTCTCCCTGGGTGCTGCCTGGCCCCTCGGCCCTTGGCTTCTCCCAAAACGGGAGACGGCAGGGGAACGACGAGGGTGAGCACAGCCCTTGTGCAGCTTGTGGGTGCTTTCAGCCCAAATCCCGAGTGCCGGCCGAGCTGTTGCGGCAGGGTCCGTGGCACAGGAGGGGAGTGGAGCCTGGGTTCATTCCAGCGCGGTGCGGAGCGGAGAGCCAAACTGGTCGGAGGTCAGGACTTGGCAGAGTGGGGGCATGAAGGGATTTATTTCTTCCCTGGGTCAGAGCTTGTTCCGGGACATTGTCACACTATCTCCTGCTGCAGCCCGTCCTCCTTGGCTGCCCCAGGGGGTCGAGGTGCCGCGGCGTCGCCTTTAGCTGGAGCACGGCTGGGGCGGTTGGGCAGTGACAGCAGGGAGAGCATCTCCCACCCTTCATCTCCTGTGAGGAAGGGACACGCTGAGCTGCGCCTCTGCCTCTTCTGTCTGACCCTGAGAAGAGACAAACCCTTGGGGTTGGGGTCCCCTGGGAGGCTCTCGGTGCCCTCCGTGGGGTCCCTGTCAGGGAGGATGGACCCCCGCGGCACCGCTGCTGTGTCAGGGCTTCCCAGCACCTGTGTTTCGAAGAGCTTTTGCAGTCGCAGCAGCTGAGATTTAGGGCAGCTCGCGCAGAGACGGGAAGTTGCGCCTCGTTTTGCTCGTGCCCCGCAGCGAAAGCGGTGCAGTGGCATCGGAAACCCGGCGGCCGCGGTGTCCCTGCAGCCGCGGGTGCGCCTGAGCCTCTGGTGTGACTCTGCGGAGAGCGGGTTTGCAGCCCTTGCTTGCAAACATCCAAGAAAACCAGCTGGAGGGTAGTGGGGAGATCCCTCTCTGTAATTCCTCCACTTGCTCTCCCGTGCTGGGATGCCCGTGGTGCTGAGCAGACGCCCGCTAGTGGCACGTGACAGCTGACACTAAAGAGCCTAAGGGTTAAATCCTGCCCTGGGCTGTGCATGGGTGTCCGCCAGCCCCCCTGCATTAGTGGGAGCTTCACAGAGCACCCCAGGACACCCAGCCTGTAGCTGGTGCAAGCTGGGTGCTGCTCTTTGGGGTGCAAGCAACAATGGGTGATGGCCT